CCCATAATTGAGGAACCGTTCAGCCGGGTAGCCGTAGATATAGTAGGGCCACTACCAAAACCCAGCCCCTCTGGGAAACGGTATATCCTGACCGTGGTGGATTACGCCACCCGGTACCCCGAGGCGATTGCCCTAACTAATATCCACGCTGAGACCGTAGCCGAAGCCTTGATGAAAATATTCTCCCGAGTAGGGTTCCCACAGGAAATGGTCTCCGATAGGGGGACCCAATTCACGGCTGAGGTTACTCAGCAGTTATGGAGGATATGTGGCATAAAGCCGATCATTAACTCCGCTACCACCCGCAATCCAATGGATTATGTGAGAGATTCAACGGTACCCTAAAACAGATGCTTCGACATTCGGAGAGACCCATAAGGACTGGGAACGATTCCTTCCCCATCTGTTGTTTGCATACAGAGAGGTGCCCCAAGAGTCTACGGGTTTTTCCCCCTTTGAACTATTGTTTGGGAGAAGGGTCCGGGGGCCGTTGGATCTCATTAGAGAGCATTGGGAGGGAGAGAGTAGTGCAGATGGGACCCCTATTGTACCATACGTGCTGGCGTTCCGGGATCGCCTGGAGGAATTGACCCAGGCGGTGCGCACCAACCTCCAGGCCGCCCAACAATGACAGCGCCGTTGGTATGACAGAGGGGCCAGAGACCGTAGTTTTCAAGTGGGGCAGAAGGTGCTAATCCTTAAACCTGTCCGCACCGATAAACTACAGGCCGTCTGGCAGGGCCCATACCAGGTGGTAGAGCAGAGATGCGATACCACCTATGTGATTGGCCCATGCTCTGGAGTAGGGAAGAGACGCATGCTCCATGTGAACCTGCTCAAACCCTACCACGAGCGGACGGAGGACGTGGCAGCTATTTGCACGCCCACCTCCGAAGATCAGGAGAACCTGCCCCTTCCAGATCTGTTAGAGCAGGAGGAGCAGAAGGAACCCTCCCAGGGGGTTCAACTGGGGGAGCGGCTAAGTCCTCAAGAGCGTATCCAGGTACAAGAACTGATAGCAGCCAAGGGCGCTACCTTTTCTAACCTACCTGGGTACACTCCACTAGCCACCCACCGAGTAGAAACCCCGGGACAGCTTCCCATGCGACAGACTCCCTATCGGATTCCTGAATCCGTGCGGGAACATATGAGGAAGGAAATTGAAGAGATGTTGCAGTTGGGGGTTATTGAACACTCAGCCCCTGGGCATCGCCGGTAGTCCTGGTTCCCAAGAAAGATGGTACCACCCGGTTCTGTGTGGACTACCGGAGGTTGAACGACAAAACTGTGTCGGACGCCTACCCGATGCCTCGGATAGACGAACTGCTTGATAGGATGGCCAGGGGTCAGTATCTCACTACCATAGATTTGTGTAAGGGATACTGGCAAATTCCACTAGCCGAGGACGCCATTCCTAAGTCGGCGTTTGTCACCCCGTTTGGCTTGTACCAATTTCGAGTCATGCCATTCGGGATGAAGAACGCCCCCGCGACATTCCAGCGGATGGTGGATCGGCTACTGGACGGGTTCCAGGACTATGCGTGTGCATATCTGGACGATATTGCCATCTACAGTCAGACCTGGTCAGAACACCTACAACACATAGGGGCAGTAATAGATCGGATCCGAGAGGCAGGGCTTACCTTGAAACCCAGCAAATGCCACATAGGGATGGCAGAGGTCCAGTACTTAGGACACCGGGTTGGTAGCGGGCAGCAGAAGCCTGAGCCCGCAAAGATTGAAGCTGTAGCCCAGTGGCCTACCCCTAGGACCAAAACCCAAGTCCTGGCTTTCCTAGGTACCGCAGGGTATTACAGAAAATTTGTACCCAACTACAGTGCCCTGGCCAAACCCCTGACTGATTTGACGAAGAAAAACCTGCCCCGGCAGGTCGTCTGGGCCCCAGAGTGTGAACAGGCATTCAACCAGCTGAAGACGGCTCTGACCAATGCCCCTGTACTGGCTGCTCCTGATCCAACTAAACGTTTTCTTGTTCACACAGACGCCTCAATGTTTGGATTGGGAGCAGTACTGAGCCAGGTCGGAGCCGATGGCGGAGAACACCCCGTAGCCTACTTGAGTCGGAAACTGTTACCCCGAGAAGTGAGCTACGCCGCCATAGAGAAGGAATGCCTGGCCGTGGTGTGGGCCCTGAAAAAGTTACAGCCGTATCTCTATGGGCAACCCTTTTCTTTGCTCACAGATCACAACCCGTTGGTGTGGCTAAACCGTGTGGCTGGAGACAATGCCAGGCTGCTGCGCTGGAGTTTAGCGCTGCAGCCCTTTGACTTTACAATACACTACCGCCCAGGGAAACAAAACGGTAATGCCGACGGGTTGTCCAGACAAACAGACCTTGAGAAGTGATCTGTGAGCACTCCCCCGGACATCCCCAAGCCGATCCGTTGGGATCAGGCTGTGTATGCCGGCTTGGTTCTGGGGGAGCATTGTGGCAAACCTAGCCACTTGGACAATAACTAGAGACTGTGCCTTTAAGGGTTGCCAATAGGTCGGGCGAGATATGCGCTTTACACTTATGTAGATGTTAATGTATTTTCCGTATTGCCTGTAATGCTGTTTCCGCCGAATGCAAATGGCGGTTTTGTATGGGGATTTTCTTTCGTTTCACGAACGGCACTTTAGAAAGCTGTTCGTGAACCGAACGCGATACCCCCTAATAGCCCACACACTTAGAGGCGTGTGGCGCTAGTTAACCGATTGCAACATTGTTGCAATCGGTTATTAGAGGCTCTCCTGGGTGGCCGTCGTTCGACTACCGACCATGCGGCGGTCGGCCATCTTGGATCCCTTGTTCTTCAGCGGGTCCGTGTCGTCGAACGCATAGCATTACCAATAGTTATTCGACGGCACGAACACCGCTGAGCCTCCAGGACGTTCGGGAGTTTCAGGACCAGGTTCACTAAAAGCAATTGGTTCTTTTCGTGTGTTTTGAAAGAAATGTGTTTTCTGTGCGGCGTTCGGTTATTTTAGCTGGGATCTGAGCGGCAATCTCACGAATGATGCGCCCAGACCCCAGCTATCTACCGAACGTCCATTCGTGTAAATCCACCGTGTATTTTAAAAGTTATGTATTTTTGTATGAATTGCTGGTTCTGCTGCACGAGGGGATAATCCCCTTAACGGTGCATTCTGGGAGGATGATCCCTCTCGTGCAGCGGTGCCTGATGGGAGAAATATGTTATACTGTAAGTCCCCCATGTAGTCCCCTCTGGGAGTGCCCCTGGGAAGGGACTCAGGAAACCCCTTGCATGGGGACTTGTATAAATTGTCGTGCCGATTAAAGGATTGTCAGTTGACTCCCAAAACTGTGTCTCGTCCGGTTATTGGGAGGTTGGGGATATTGCCTTGGTGTTTTCAGCGCTTGACTGTGGATTCGTTTCTGGACCAGCGGAATTCGTGGATTTTATATTGGCGTTCCGCTACACACACTTCTTTGGAAAAGCCTACGAGCTATCCCCTTAATTTCTGATCCCTTACAATCTTTCTCTGTTGTCTCCCATCTACTGTACTTCCTCCTCCCAAACACCCCTCCCATATTTAGGTACATCCACTTCCCTTTTGTGTATTCGGGCAGGGCCATCTTCACTTACTGTTTTGTTAGAATGAAATGTTTGCTTGTTTACATACTGTACAGCGCTTTTGAATATGTTGGCGCTATATAACTTATTGTGATTTGTGCACCTTTATTAAGTCACCAAAAAGGATGAGCTGTGTCTTTTTTTTTCTTTCTTTTTTTGTGACGGAATACATGCATCGAACTATGGCTTATTATTTACATTTTATTACTCACTTTGGCAGAATACACATAGTTAAACTTCTCTGTTGCTCATATAAATTGCAAGAAATCAGCATGTTTTACAACTTGTAGCAAAATGCACGCACACACACAACACAACGGTTGAGTAGGTGATTTTTGTGCAAAATCAATGAAAAAAAGTGGGACTCTGAGCTCCTATCCAGCTCCTTGCCACCCAGTCGATCCCTAGTTGGAGGTACCAGTTTCTTGGAAGGGTCCTGTGTTTTTCAAACCTAGAAGTACCCCTTACCCACATGGAAGAATGCAGTGTTCTTTCAATAACCATTTTCAACAAGGATTGCACTTTAAAACCATTTGAACCTTTCTGTGTGTATATACCTAGCTGGACAAACTAAATGCTTTAAAAATGCTGGCTTTAAAATAAATAAGTAAATACTGCTATGGTCTTATAGTGCCTATGTTAATGCACAAGGCTAATATGATATAATACAATATTTTGCATATATTAGCTGTAGATAACTATATGGCATGGTACTCGGCTAACAGGTGCAGGCACAGAGGCGTAACTAGTAACCACTGGGCCACGGTGCAAAAATTGATCCATATGTCTACCCCCATCCCATGAAACACAGACATACGACTTGACTGACTACTTACTAATGAAACATGACTCAGGCTGTGAAGCTATTGAAGGCATGTGCTGTTTTAACCTATCTGACCATGGCACTAGTATCCATAAACATATAAAAGATTTACATGACTTAGTACAGGATATCAAATAGGATACTGGCTTCTTTGGGGATTGGGATTTTACATTTGGGCTAGGAACATGGTTGACTTTACTAACTAAGAAGATTTTGTACTTTTTGCTATTAGCTGTATTTGTTATTATGGACATTTTTCTAACCTTTAGATTTTTCTCATATCTATTAAGCTCTCTATGTAAAAACAAACCTACTGTTGGTCGTACCTTAACTTACATTCCAGCTCCGACTTCGGAAGGTTTTTACGATGTTACCTCGTCTAACAAATGAAGGAACTCTCCTCAGCTGATTCTGGTGGTCTCTCAGTCCAAGGGAACCGTGAGGAAGATATGTCAAAGTCCCACAGGCTTTGGCTAGCAGGCCTGGAAATACCTTGGACATATGGGTGACCCTTATATCAAAAGATGGGATTGTGATAGAATTTATCTTAATTCCAAGGCTCAAGCTTATAGGTGTCATAATGATATCCTATATTAAAATTGGCTAACTTGGACTCAGGAAATGCTTGATGCTTAAAGCAACACTAAAGACCATAAATGTCTAGTTCCGGGAGCAGATAGCCCCACCTGAGCTGTCTCTTCCCAAATCATTATGTTCTTTCTCTGAACTTATTTGTTATATGTACATGACGTTCATCCCTATGTCTCATCTGTACTCCTTTCACTCCCTTCCTACTACTGTCCTATGAGTATTTGTACACAAGCACTTACTTTTTAATGTATAAAAACCCAAATTAATAAATGAGAGGCTTGTTTTGAATAACAGGTGTCTGTTGTCTAATTTACGCTCCTCCAAGTGCACTTGTAATAATAATAATTTGGCTTCCTCTGAAAATAACAAAGATCAATATTTAGATCTATATCAAGACAGACATACAAACACACACATACACAAACACACAGAGACACATGCAAAACGTCACCCTCCTGTTTCCTACCTTTTAGGTGCAGTAGGGTGTTTTTCAATGGGGTCCAGTGTCTCAAGCTGATGGGAGTCAGAGTTCCCACTCTGACTCCCTCCTCTCTTCCTCCCACACGTGCTTTGTGATTGAAGCGAGGAAGTGACCGGTGCAGTCACTTCATCACTGCGCTCTGATGTCATAAAAGGGGGCCCGTTCGCACATTACCGGGGCCCCTGTAAATTAATTTCCATCAGGTGGCCCTAACAGCCAGGGCCGCCATCAGGGCATGACAACCGTGACAATTGTCACGGGCCCGGCGGCCCTGGGGGGCCCGGCCGCCCGGGCCCCACGTGGATCAGCGGAACTGCCGCCGGTGCATCTGCACCGGGGCCCACACGCTGATGGGGCCCATCAGGTGGCCCCAATCATTTAGGGCCACCCAATGGGCCCTATTATCTTCAGGGGCCCGTGTAGCGCTGTAATAGCGCGACCGGGCCCCTTTAAAAAAAAACTTTACTCCGCGCGGGAAGGAGGACGCAGCATGAGGAGAGGCAGCCGATGCCCATCATCCCCAGCCACCCTCCTGCGACGAAATGGTAAGGAAGAGAGGAGGGTGGCTGGGGATGAAGTGTATGTATGTGTGTATGCTGGTGTATGTGTGTATGCTGGTGTATGAATGCCAGTGTATGTGTGTCTGAATGCCAGTGTATGTGTGTGCCAGTGTGTGTATGAATGCCAGTGTGTGTGTGTGTGTGTATGCTGGTGTATGAATGCCAGTGTATGTGTGTGTATGCCAGTGTATGAATGCCAGTGTGTGTGTGTGTGTGTATGCTGGTGTATGAATGCCAGTGTATGTGTGTGTATGCCAGTGTATGAATGCCAGTGTGTGTATGCCAGTGTATATGTGTGTGTATGCTGGTGTATGAATGCCAGTGTATGTGTGTGTATGCCAGTGTCTGAATGCCAGTGTATGTGTGTATGAATGCCAGTGTATGAATGCCAGTGTGTGTATGCCAGTGTGTGTGTATGAATGCCAGTGTGTGTATGCCAGTGTATGTGTGTGTGTATGCTGGTGTATGAATGCCAGTGTATGTGTGTGTATGCCAGTGTCTGAATGCCAGTGTGTGTATGCCAGTGTATGTGTGTGCCAGTGTGTGTATGCCAGTGTATGTGTGTATGAATGCCAGTGTGTGTATGCCAGTGTATGTGTGTGTGTGTATGCCAGTGTATGTGTGTGTATGCCAGTGTATGAATGCCAGTGTGTGTATGCCAGTGTATGTGTGTATGCCAGTGTCTGAATGCCAGTGTATGTGTGTCTGAATGCCAGTGTATGAATGCCAGTGTGTGTATGCCAGTGTATGTGTGTATGAATGCCAGTGTATGTGTGTGTGTATGCTGGTGTATGAATGCCAGTGTATGTGTGTGTATGCCAGTGTCTGAATGCCAGTGTGTGTATGTATGCCAGTGTCTGAATGCCAGTGTATGTGTATGTATGCCAGTGTGTGTATGCCATTGTGTATGCCAGTGTATGAATGCCAGTGTATGCCAGTGTGTATATGCCAGTGTATGTGTGTATGAATGCCAGTGTATGTGTGTATGTATGCCAGTGTGTGGATGCCAGTGTATGTGTATGTATGTATGCCAGTGTATGTGTGTGTATGCCAGTGCATGTGTGTATGTGTGTGTGTATGTATGCCAGTGTATGTGTGTGTGTGTGTATGTATGCCAGTGCGTGTATGCCAGTGTGTGTCTGTATGCATGCCTGTGTGTGTCTGTATGTATGTATGTATGCCTGTCGGTATGTATGTATATATCAATATGCAGTATGTATATGTATGTTTGTCAGTATGTATGTCTGCTTGTATATATGTGTGTGTGTCTCAGCATCTCCCTATGCATGTGTGTATGTCTGTTTCAGTATTTGTATCTGTTAGTGTGTGTGTATTCCTGTGGGCGGGATTTGGAGGCAGGCTTGAAGGGGGGCCCAGACCTTGAGCTGTGTTAGGGGCCCCAAAATTTCTGATGGCGGCCCTGCTAACAGCATGGGCCACCCGATGGGCTCCTTAACATGTGGCCTTGGCAGATATACCGCGTGGGCCAGGGCCGCAACTGATGGCCGGTGGGTACCAGGGCGCAGGGGTCCACAGTGTGATTGGGCCTGCTGGAGTTACGGGCCTGGTCGCAGCTGCGACCACGGTAGTTCCGCCACTGGGCGGGCACCTAAAATCTAACATCTAGTTTTTTTAAAGCTTTCTAACAGCTTTGTATATTCTTGAAATAGGTGTCTAAACTGTTTATTATCATGAAGAATTCTAGTTTCTTTTTGTTGTTCACTGACCTGAATAATAAAGTTAGACACAGATATTCCTTTTACTATAAGACATCAATAGATATTTATGGTTTCTTAACGATTAGTTAAGCTGATTAATAAGATAGAGTCACTGGTTAAAACCATACAGAGCCTTCTTTACTCTACAATTTCTGCCTATGATCCATTACACCGCCTTAGGATGAGTCTGCTATTCTTTATCTACATTTATTGTTATATATTAGATACTATATCAGACCTTTCTAGCACCCAGCAGCTCATAAGACTTAGCTGGGTGCTTTTTAATTTGTATGCAATTTTGCAACATAGTATCAGGTTACGTTAACCTGCTTTCTAGTCTATTTCCAAGATGGGGGACCATTCTGACTATCTATATAGGATCCATCTGCTTGTCCAATTTTATTTATTTTCTATTGTTTCACTTTATCACATTTTTCTGGCACTGTTCCCTTATAGGGATTTAATAAAATTGTGAATGATACATTTTTAAGGTTTTCTCATTCCAATGTTGGACTAGTACTTTAATAACAGGTAACAGGGCTAGTATTGGGCTTGTTTCTCACTAGTCTGTACTAATCTTCTTATTGAAAATATAGGGAGTACAACATTCCTTTAAAAGTCACTTAGGGCCAACAGTTTTAACAGTCTACAAATATAAGACTTATACATTTGCAAAGGGGAAATAAATAAAGAAAATATATATATATATATATATATATATATATATATATATTTATATTTATTTCTTTCCCCACAATATTGCCATTTATAACTAAGTGCATCTAAAGAAATAGTTGTGAAAAAAATAACCTATTTGTCTTGATATTGAGACTCCCTCACAGAACTAGGATTATGTCTATGTGGATAGAGGACATACACCAAAATTCATGTTTCAGAGCTAAAGATTATTTGTTATTTAACACTAAATTTCTAAAAACAAGTAAAACATTTTTTTTTTACAAAAAATAGATACTCTTGAAGTACTTACATAGAGATATATGCCACCTTGATCACAAGTATCCACCAAAATTGAACCCTTTAATTTTTTTGTTTATTACTGCAGTAATATTTGCTCACACTCTGCAGCCTCCCGTTCTGCTTCCCATGTAATTTTCCTCCAGGCTGTGTCCTTTGTCTTCTCAAAAAGAAAGTGTTGCACTCCTCCAGTCAAATGCTTCTCACAGAGAAGCATCGGATCCAATGCTTACCTATGATAAGCAACAGAGGATATTCAACATTTTCATGCATGTTTGTATGAGCGAAAGCAACCTCTAGAGCAGGGCTAGGCAACCTTTGGCATACCAGATGTTATGTATTACATCTCCCTTAATCCTCTTACAGCAAGCATTGGTGTCCAAAGATGTCCATTGTGGGCAAGCCGTGAGTACGTGCTTAGTGTTAAAGCAGAGTAGGCAGCTGCTTTCTCCACATTGCAGGTGCCTACTCTGCTAAAATTTACCCGGCCGAGAGGAGAGGTCACTGGAGGAGTTCAGTTTTCCTGCTCCTTACTGCTTCCTTGCGCGTGCTGTCTGTAGTGATGCCGGGTGCCGGAATATTACGTCATATTCCGGCACCCGGCATCACTAAACTGTGCGCGTGAGGGAGCAGTAAGCAGCAGGAAGGAGATCTCCAGATAGAACATCCCCACTGGACCCAAGGGATAAATACAATGATGTGAGTGTGTGCAAGAATGTGTGTGTGTGTCTGTCAGTGAGTAAATATATGTCTGCCAGTGAGTGTGTGTGTGTCTGTCAGTGAGTATGTGTCCGTTTGTGTGTCAGTCAGTGTTGCGATATCCGCGGCTGGACAGTGGAGGACCTGGAGGTGCACGGAGGCACGCAATGCCATGTCACATTCTGATGTGACGTCGATGTGCTCCACCTTCACAGAGTTTCAAGAAGTAGCGGAAGGATCCGCTTTGGCACAGGGTGCGGACGGCACCATTTGGGGTATACCAGAGGCCGGACTCCGGAGTCGCATACTGGCAGCAGCAATGTGAGTGGAGTCTGTTTATTGGCTAGAAGGGGGTTCTGGGATTTAGTGGAGGGGGGGGACTGGGATTTGGTATATGGGGCGGGACCGGAATTTAATAGAGGGGAATGCTATTTTTTTTTTATACTGTACTTTTCAAAATAAACCTATGTTTTAATTTAAATTTAAGTTTTCATAAACTTGACACTTGTTTATTTGGCCCGTGCTAGACTTTGAGTTTGACATGCTTGCATAGGCGTGCGCAGCCTATTGCATTAGGGTGTGCACCCTAAAGCACAAAACACATGCCCCGTGTGTGTGTATATATATATATATATATATATATATATATATATATATATATACACACACACACACACATACATACATACACTGCTGTGTGTGCTGTTAGTGTGATGTTTGTGTGTGTTTGTGACGGTGCTGTTTGCGTGTGAGGGTGTTTGTGTGTGTTTGTCCTGTGAGGGTGCTGTGTGTGTGAGGGTGCTGTTTGTGTGAGTGTCGTGTATTTGTGAGGGTGCTGTTTGTGAGGGTGCTGTTAGTGTGCTGTGTGTGAGGGTGTTGTGTTTTTTTTAAAGGTGCTGTGTGTGTTTGTGAGGGTGCGGTTAGTGTACTGTGTGTGTGTGTGTGAGCTGTATGTGTGTAGGTGCTGTGGGTGCTGTATGTGTGTGTGTGCTATATGTTTGGAGGGATTGTGGAGGTGGGGGCAGATTAGTAAATATCCCCCCTCCCTTCTGACCTTATGTAGGGAGGGGGATCCTTGCTGCCATGTGCCATCCCTGGTGGTCCAGTGGAGAGTGAACTCTAGCCGCGCCAACGCTCAGATATCGTGAGAGGAACCTGGCGGAGCTGCTGTCTAGAGCTCCCTGGGTCCTCTCCTGCCTCCCTCCATGCTGCTGTGGGCCGGTGAGGTAGATCTTTGGTCTCCCCGCCGGCCCATGGAGGCTTAGAGCAGAGCCAGCACTCAGATAGCGCCGGCTCTGCGTGAGCCGACAGGGGAGATCGGGACAAGTACTGTGGAATAATGTGTGGGAACTCTCCAAAGATTCCCACCCCCCAAAAAAAATAATATAAAAAAATGTCCACCCAGCCTCCCTACCTGGAGTGCTGGCGTGGACTTGTACCTGGGGTCCAGTGGGGCGGGCGCCTGTCTCTATCTCAGCCGGGGCGAGGGAGCTGTGTGCTCTCTGCTTCCTCTCGCCGCGCGGGCTGTCTGCTGTAGCTGGGAGCTGGAATATGACGTCACATTCCGGTTCCTAGCATCAGCAAACGGCGCACGGCGAGAGGAAGCAGAGAGCACACAGCTGCCTCGCCGCGGCTGAGATGGAGAAAGGGGGAATCCATCGCCTCTGATAGGGGCAACACGGGGGAAGGAAGGGGGGCATTTGGGGGCGCTGAGTGCCTGCAGGAACAGCGTTCCTGCTCAAAAAAAGTGCAGGAACGCTATTCCTGCAGGACTCAATCCATAGGCGTGCCGCAGGGATTAGGGTGTGCCCAGGCACATACGGCACACCCGTGCGCACGCCTATGCATGCTTGTCTTTCAGCTATAATGCTGGCAAAGCACTAGAGGAGATGTAGTATAGGTTGCCTTCCCTTGTGCATCTACAAATGGGCAGTGTTTTACATTGCAGGATCCAAAAAAAGTAGGACTGCTGCACTCAGACCACTTTATTGAAATATTAACCTAATATTAACCTATAGACTGCAGGATACATACTTGTCTTCCATGATTTCCAGGTTATGTGTCGGGATATTCACTCATCCTTTAGGGTCAGTTTGCCATGTCTCTCCTGGCACATCAATCATTAATGTGAAAGCTGCTACATTTTGTTAAATGCACATCTTTCCTCTCGTGCAATGTTGATATATTGGAAACCGTAACACTAAGTGGTTTATTCACTAAACTGGTAGCTGACGATTGATTTGCAAAGTCTAGTCCAGGCTTATGTATGAACGTTGGACAAAAATCTTCAACTCTGTTTGTCCTATAATTGATAAGTCAGTAGCTAATTAATCAATATCATTTTACTCTTTATTGGATAAACTTCTAAAATGCACACTGATATCTGTGCAGTTAATCTCAGTCATTTATTCATTGACCAGATGAGTTTATTGCTGGAAAAATTGAGGAGAGAATTCAATTGTTTCTAAGCGGAGATGATGCTGTAATTGCTGCTCCTGCTGTAATATTTTTATCTAACATTATGCAACATGTCTTGTGTGGAATGTGTAAAATATACCGCATTACAATAGCAGTAATAAAACAGATATAAAATATTTGGGGGGGAAAAAATTGAGATATGTGTCAAAAGTGCAAATCAACCAATATCAATACTTTACATGTTTAAAAGATGTAATTATTCTAGTCCCTTATGACACATTTAGCGCAGACATAGTATAAATACCACTATAAATGCTGTCACAGTGAGTATAATGTGGAATTCATCTTTCTAAATTAGCCATGGCAATAACACTGTCTCTTCCCATTTTCAGTCCACATTTGAATAAATCTGCAGACATAGAATAAAGACAGACGGTCTCTGTAATATTTAATTCTTTTAACCCAGACTAAACGACTTAACAAAGGCACACAAGAGTTTGAGTGTAGTGTCCCTGGGTCCATTATTTTATTCTGTAGCACACAGCTTAAAATATCAAGTCCTATGCTACTAGCCCAGCCTTAAAGTGTACTCACCACTACCGATGTTTCAAGGTGTTGAAGTGGTCATGGTGGTTAAAGTCTGTATGTGTAGCGTCTCTCCTTGAAACACTACAAGTTCAGATATGTAATCCATTTTGTTTTGGGAGGCTAGTTTCACTCTGGGCAAGCATGACTTTGCTAGCGTGTACCACATACAGTGCGCTTGCGACAGAGGTAATGATTTTATCCCTTGCAGGCAGCATGAAAGGAGAAGTCTTTCTCTCCCTCTGTGTGCTTCTTCCTGCTTCTCTCCATTCCTTATGGTTTTTTTCTCTGAGAAGCATTTGATTGGACCACATTAGGGCAGAGATAACATTGGATAAGCTTTGCTTAGTGCTATAACCCTGGTTACCCAAGTTTATTGTTTTTTTCTCCCATGTTTTAAAAGGTGAGGGGAGCTACTAACTAATGCCCAATAGTGCATTATTAATTCAAATAAATGTGCCTTATAAAGGGTAACCATAACCCTTTAAGGGTCAATGTCACACTCACTAGGGGTGAATTTCTACATGACAGGGTTAAACTCCACTTGCCAGTGGCTAATGAGAATCTTGAGCCCTGTTGTAGCAGATGCAGTAAATATGTGTATACTTCATTCCCTTTTGCAATGTGGAGTCTTCTATCTTCATTGCCCTCTGGCATGTTTCCTTTTTTATATAAATTCCTTGTACTTCTACTCACTGAATGGCTGATCATTGTTTCGTGGATTAGGAATATGCTTTTTAATTGGCTAATTATTTGCTGATGATGTTCTGAGTCAGTGAGATACGCACTGCACTGCTCAGGAGAGCTGCTTAGAAACCTCTGGCTCTCCGGCCCTGGTATTGGAAGCGGGAAGGTCGCTTGGTTGGCAAACCCAGAGGAAAGAAAAAAAACAAAAACTGTTGGACTCTACAGTGGGGAATGGAGGTGGAGGGTTATTGAGCAACCCTGGCACCATAACCACTACAAATTTAATAAAAGCTTCTTGTGTCTTGAATGTTGCATGGAGCTGGGATAGCTGGTATTTTATCAGCACTGTGTTTGAGGCTGTCTGGCTGGCTAATGTCTAATGCTGGCAATGCGATGGCCAGTATTTTTCTCTGGTCGGATTCTGGGCGAGTGGTAAGATAAATGGAGTCAGAATACCCACCTCTGTCATACATGGCAGGTACACACATTATAATGCACACAATGACACACATATTCAGACAAAATATACACACAGTGACTGCGGTAGTCACCATCACCGGGAGATTCAGACAAACACTTTATGTAGGACTCTGGACTACCCCTATTTCCAACTCACCCTGTGCCCTATATAGGTGCAGGGTGTGTATAATGTATTTGTTTATTTTACAATATTTTGTTAGGTCTCCTGTCCTGATGATGCTTGCTACCAACTAGGTGGCTTTGGCTATGGAGCCTGTATAGCGTCATCTGTTGTTAGCAACAGCTATATGCACTACCTGAATAGCAAATTAAATAACCAACTCATATCAGACATTGTACAGAAACTTATAATAACATACCTCTACCATTCACATAGAGACATATGCTAGGACCTCTGCCTGTTTTCTGACTATGCTTCCAGTCATCTGCCGTTCTTTACATTGCCATGTTACGATACAAAAAAAAATACTACATATGGTTAAACCCCCCATTTCTACAAGTGTTAGTGTATGGATCCTGTCCAACATTATCACCTGAGTCTAATTTACATATTCTGCCTATGCAGTATTCTGAAGTTATTAGAGTGCATATTTATTGTCTGTCTATCTAATGTTGTAAACAGTTTTCATCGTGACTCCGATTCTTCATTTAAAACCATTCTGTAAATGCAACATAAAATAAATTCTGCAACCAAATAAAAGGTACAATCTGGCCTCTGTAGCTACTTGATCTCATTAAAGTGGTTATAGTTCCTGGAGTCCCCTGGTGCCATTTCTTCCTGGTGCCACTTTTGAATACAGCAGTTTAATGCTAAACAACAGTCCCAAGCAGCCAATCCCCACTGCGTTGCTCAGAACAAAATACAGCATACTACAGCATATACCTGTACTCTTAAATTGATAGTATTATAATCACAAGTTGTTCATTCCCTATGCTAAGCTGCTGCATATTTTCTGTAAAGTTCGTAAAATGCATTTAAAAATGTTATAATTACACTCTTAAGTCACGCATTGGATATCTCTTAAATGACAACAGACTTCAAAATATTTCTATCATTTAATTAAATTTATTGCATATTTATCAAAAGAGATGAGTCAGAATTTCTAGAGAACTTGCAAATAACCAGTGTTTATTTTCATATTAAGGCTATTTTTGTCTCATAGTAGTAATTTCTTGGTAAACAACATAATTGTAAAACAGAGATAACTGCAGTATGCAAAAAATCCCTATAAATATATATATTCTTTACATTGGTGATGTGGATCTGGTTTACAGAAGATGCACAATACAGAGAGACAGCTGCAAGATCAGTGCGTCTCTGTAAAATAAAATAACTGAAGTTACATTGTTAAAAGTTAATTATCTGTTCATCAAAGTAAGGAAAACAACGGGACAATTGACTTTTACAGAAGAATTGGGAAAAAAAGGTTCATATGGGTAGTTCTATTGACAGGCTCCTGTGTCTGAACACTGATGGGAAGTTGAAAGTACGTGGTACGTCTCCAATTAGGCAATTGTTCAACTGGTGGTGTGCCAACAAATTGGTTGGTTTCATCATGGAAGCATGCTGGGTGCTGTAAACATAACCGGTGCTGCTTTATATTAATGCACTTTTGTAAATCCACTGAGCATCATACAGGCCCCTCAAAAACTGCACTGAAAATACCAAGAGGGCCACGGCAATTTAAAAAAAATAAATGGACTTACAAACAGCTATCAGTACGAAGCCATCAGTCTGAAACATAGGAACTATGTAAAATAAACAATGCTTAATGTTTAGCAAGGAAAGCAGGCCCCCGTATTGCTCCAGTTTCTTGTTCTCTGTGTTTAACATAGTTGCCTGGCCACATAACTGTCCCCGTATACTGTCCCAGTATAGATTGATTTTATGATTTTCAAATAATACCCCTCCCCCAAACGTGATACATAAAATGTAAAAATAAAACGAAAAACATTTTTATAACTTTATTGGTCTTCCAGCATAAACGTTTAGGAGCGATGTACATTTTGCTGGTCGTTATAGTATAAAAAACAAACAAAACACTGTTTAACTAAACTCTGTTCCTTTAAAGACAATGGAAGACGTTATTCAATCCATGTGCACAATGCGTAAGTGGAGGCCTAGTTCGAAGCATTTGAACTTTGTCTTCCAAGCATTAATTTTTCTTTACATTCGGAGACTGGTAAAAAAAGAGACATTCAGATAATGTTTGTGAGCAAAGCCAGTCTCTTTCTGTCCATAATTGTTAAATGCTATAATACAGTTGCAGCTTTCATGGCCTCAACCCACCTGCAAAAGAATGAAATTAGGTTATATTTCGATAGGAAAAAATTTTTCAGCACAGAGTGCAAAGTGAAAAGTACAACCATCAATAATGAGTATCCTTTCAAATAAACCTACATACTTCCACTGACTAAGCTAGTCTTTTGGATTGTAAACTATTTTGGGCAGAGCCCTCTTCAGGTGTTTGTAGTGTTTGTTTTGTTTACCAATGAGGTTTGTAAATATTAATATAGGGCCAACATTTTCCGCAGCTCTGTACAATAGTTCACAATAGTACAGAGCTGCGGAAAATGTTGGCGCTATATTAATAATTGTAACTGCAATTGTAAGAGGGTAAATGTAAGTGTAAACACCGTTAGTGCTCAAGTGGCACATAGATATTTTAGTATGGAAAAGGTAAGAGGTAATACTGACTCATGGAATCAGTGTCACACACTGAACAAAATAAGGAATAAAACTCATCAAAATAAAAAGTCAGCACTGTATTACATTGATTGATCACAATTTACATCCCAAAAGGACTTCCACGTTCGATCCATCGGTACTTTATTGGACGCGTTCCCGTGGGTGCCAGAAGTCTGGTGGACTATGTTCAGGTATACAAAGCTGTATGTATATTGGCAGTATTGCAGACATTGTGTTTCACCTGTGCGACTAATTTTGTGGATTTGTCTTACTTTATCTTAAGGATATTAAATGTCTATAAAAAGTCTGCACTATTAGTGTTTCTTCTTCTCTTTCACAGGATATCTTGAATAGGAAGATTTATGACAACATCTAAGTAAGGCACTCAAACACTATGGGTGTTTCACTTACAGAATAGTTATATACGCTGCTTAAAAATGTATATTTAAAACTTACAAAGCTTGTGTGAAGTCAGTGAAAAGAGGCAATGTTGAGAATGGGCTGTGAAACATTTCATTATTTTGAATATGGCTGGCTGTTATCCATATTAACCAATACATTCCCTGTCTATTTCATTTGTAAAAATTAGAAAGGGATTTCCTTTAAGCATATCATACATTGCAACTTCATTATAACTGTTAAAAGGCCAGAGGACATTGCAGTTCCGTTACAGCCAAAAGCGGTATCTTAACCAACTTTATGCCATGATGGCAGTTGTGCAAAAACTCTACTCCCCTGTACAGCAGCTGAACGACCACACTGGGGTTCACCCTCAGGATTTAGCAGAAGGTGAGCATGCACGATTGCATTCCAGCCATAACAATACAGTACATGGGGGTCACGACATGCAAAATGATCAATAACAAATCAAAATGCATTGTAAATAAAACGGGTGGATACTTTTACAATTTTTTTTTATTTTTTTTACAATGCATTGTAACACAATGGTACTTAAATGATAATGACTGATTCTGAAATAAAACAAAAACGAACATTATATCACTCAAACAGACAAGGTTATCCACTAAAGTGTGAAATGTTAAGAACTCAAATATGATTTAAACTGAATTTTACATTTTATGCCAGAATAGAAAAATTTTGAAATTTGTCAAAGTGAACTTTGTTTCCAATTCAGTTACTTGGACCTAAAATTTGGAATTCACCCTTAATAATTTAATTTGTCTGTGAACACTCCAAGTCCTGGCTGTCCCAGTATCATTTGTGGTGACGGAGTTATACCTTCCCAACTTAGATTATTCATCCTGAATGTTGCAGGACAGCTTGCCCCTTGCTGTAGCTCAATACTTACTTAAATAAACCTTTTATTGAGTGAGCACCAAACATACAGTTAGCTTCCCTACAGAAACTACCTGTACTATCCCATTGCTAATGTTTCTTTGACCCAAATCAGTGCTGAGCAACCTTTGACAATACTGGTTTGTTGTGATGTCCATCCAGTCATTAGGCTTGATTACCATGGCCAATCCTCCTATTTGTCCTGGAGCTAATAGTGGTTTACTTCTGCACCCATACTGGTCTGTCTAACCCACCGTCGGGCTGAGACTACCTC